TAGCCCCAAACTGGCCCACTGTTGTCTAACACATCACTGTATACTTATTAGACATAGTGGGAGTATTTACACATGCGTTAATATGCTTTAGTTAATGTGCATTAAATTTAATACCTCTGGGCATTTATACACATCCTTTTTGCCCCATGATGCACTGGAGATCTGGTGGGTTGGAGAAGACTTGATTAATCGAGTCTGGTCCGCACAGGAGCTGACGTGAACTGCTTTGCATCGCATGTAGTTGTATAAGCGGCGAGGTGAAATGTGCAACAGTATGCAAAAAATGGCGGCAGTGCACTTTTGAACTAAAACATCTCCTATGTGTTTTAGTTCAAAAGTGCACTGCTGCCATTTTCTCAGTGCTGGTGCGCCTTTCGCCACTTACATGGTTGTATGCGCCGCAGCGCAAGCACGTGTACAAATGCCCTCCCATGTGAGGTACTAGGAAAAGGTGCGTTAGCTTATTTTAATGTGCATTAGTGAAAGTGTGTGGGTTTTTTTGTGAAGCTTTAATGCATGTTAAAATAGGCTAATGCGCATTAAAGAGCACATGTAAATGTGCCCAGTGTGGTGGGTAAGGGAAGTAAAGGGCCCTATTTCTCAAGTTTGTCTAGCTGCAACAGAAGTTCCTTATTTTTTTTTGTAGGCTTTGTTTAAGCAAACTAGTCCTGCTAAGTGCTCTCCGCTGCAATAAAGATTTGTACATAAACCAGAATCTCTCTTTATCTTGATCAGCTCCACATCTGAGATGTAGACCTGTTTGTCCAGATGAATTCAGATATCATACTAGAACTGTTTTATACATCTGGTATCACCTCTTGAACTGAACTCCTACCATTTTTCATATTTAGGAATAGGGCATAGAAGATAAACATCAGAAAGGTGTCATACTTTTCCGTCTTCCTGAAGAAAACATGACTAGGGTAAATTGTGATTGGAGAAGGGATAGATTCAGCCCCCCTCTCTTTCCCCATCTTATCCAAATGGTGCATCTAACATTACACTTGGAGTTTGTTAGGCATCGATTTTCAGTAGTGAACAGATCCACAGTGTACCTTCACTTCACTGTTTCTATGAGTAGGACCTTTGTCAGCTTCAGCAGTCTTCTTGTTAGCAAGAACAATATACCCTGAATCCCTTCCAGCTCTGGTAACTTTGCCTCTTTCTTTTCCCTTTAGTTAAAATGGTTGCTGTAAAAGGCCAGACTAAGGGCCCATTGCTGTTCATGCTAATCCTTTGATTTTTTTCAAGTTGGAATCAATAAAAGTTCAGAATACAAAGACAGCTCTCAGTTTAACTGAGGAAGTTAGCTACAACTAAAGGGATATAAAGCTGTTGTTGAGCTTTGTTTCTGGAAAGAGAAGGCAAACTGAGTTGGCAATTTTCCTTTTGGTACTTTCTAACTGGGCTTAAATGACAGCAGCATTCAGGACAGCTAGCTTCACTTTCTCAAAGAGTTTTCCCCACCTGCCAGCACTGCAGCTATCACAGGGTGGGGACGGCTGGAGGCAGGGACCTGCACCTGGTGCTGATGATTACAATACACTCCTTACTATTGGCAGCTGTCCATAGGCTGCTCCCTGACAGAGCAAGGTATCCTGTGCTTGGGTGCAAATAGGTGAGCAAGGAGCCAGCTGTGATGGAGGCAGTCTAAAAGCATGCTGCTGGACAGCACCAGAGATGGGGGAGCCAGGAAACAGCATTGATAGACTGGGGAAATGAGTTTTGCTAAAACTTCCTTCAGTATCAGGGCTGTCCCGCACAAGGGCCTCCAGTCAGCCCAAGCATTTCACACTCCAGCTGGGCTGCGAACAACACGATCCAGTTATTTTCATTCTACCATTTACATTCACCACTGGTGTTTGACAGTCCGCCTTTGTCTGGCAATGCAAGACAGAGCAGCCAAGATTGCTCTTCTTTAGCTGTGTGATTATAGCTAAAACTTGGCAGAAAAAGCAGCAGTCGTGATGCTAATATTTAAGCATCTCACCAACATTTCTTCCTAACTAATAAATTCACAAGGAGCTGTTGAATTTGTTGTGCTAATACTAATGATAAAGATGTTACCTCTTGGATATGATTTAAGTAGCCAGGATAACTGAATATTACTAGTTTATAGCCATGGTTGTGCCTAAAACAGTCATTTCTCTGAAATGTGTTTCTTTCCTTTCCTGCCTTCCACTCCCTCCTCCACTTACACACATGGTGCTGTTCCTTATATACACAACTGCCATAGTTTGCGTAAGATCCTTGGAAGGTGACTTCTCTGTCCCATGATGTATAAACCAACCTCTCATATCCGCTCCTTCATTCTTTCCTCACACAGGACCTAGGTTCTCCAACCATAGAAGAGCAAGTGGATCAGTCTGCAATAGATGATGAAACAGTCCTTATTGTTCCCTCATCCCATGGTTTTATCCAGACATCAGATGATATAGACAATGAATCAGTCTTACCTCTGACAAGACTAACAGGTAACAGAGTCTCTTAATGCAGTTGTGCTCAGGGGTCAGGATTCTTCTGTTCTGCACAATCAGTTGGAGCTCGGTATATCACCTTATTTTTGAAATCTCCTTGTAAATTGATTTTCATATAAGCAAGATGGCACAAGATGTATCTGGAAACTGCTGGTCAGTTAATGTTTTATTTGGGTTAATGGAAAGAGAATGACAGCTCTTTGCTCTTCAGTCCGGAGGTACTAGTGGCAGCCTCTCCTTGTTAATGGCCTTAATGTTCCACTAATCAAGCTAACCTTGTCTAACCACAGGTTTGTCGTCTTTTAGCTGCTGCTGGTCTCTCCTCCTATTTCACAATCTCGGAGACTTTATCTCTTTTCAGAATTAGAGATCTGTAGAGACCAGCCTCCAGGAGCAGCAAGGGTTTCAGCTGGCAGAGTGAGTCAGCTGAAGATTAGGCTCTGTCTTTGCTCTGTGCCGCCATAACTGTGGAAAACTTTTTTCCCCTCAATCTGCCTTTCAAAAACAAGGCAGCTATTCTGTTCCTGGATGTATTATATTTGACAAAATACAGTACTTGGTAAAGTATGAATGGAATATAGCAGCTCCAACAGCTACTTACCAAGTCTTGAATTAGATCACGTAGATTGATCAGTAATTTTTGGAATGGACTTCTCCACCCCTATTTAGAGAGGGAGACCAGAGGATCTTTAAAAGTATCTATTTTTAGATAAAAATTACTCTAAGTAGTTCAAAGTACTTACACACATTATGAAATATATCATATCATATGCACCATTAGGGCAGCACAGTAAGTTATGGGTCCTAATGTAATGTGGTTTATTGCAGATCCTATATTGCAACACCATGGAGAAGGATCGCACATTATTGGCTCATCATTGGGTAGCCCTGATTCTGAAGACTCCAAGGATGTTGAAGACTTAGTTAGTTGTCACTGACAAGCAGTAAATCATGTCTGTTTTCTATGACTGTGTTTGCATCATGAAGTTAGTTACAGCCCTGTACCACCTGTCCAAAGCAAGCAGTCAGTCTACGTGGTTACGAAAAGAAAGCATTGTTTAGTTTGAAATGGCTACAGTGCACTTTTACTGCTCATAAGACTTTTTACCTCATTTGTAAAGGGTTACAGAGCTGCTCACAGCCCAGTTTGCTACATTCAGCAAGGCTCTTTTTATTTTAGTTTGCAGTGCTCATGGCTAGGATCTACTTGGTCAGTCTGACCTGGCTGTTACTAGTGTGCTGGACTTCACACACCATGAAAACTGGACAGAAGCCAAGGATTGTAGGCCTTAGCTTGTTAGTGCAGCAACAAGAATTAGTTTGCACACCTTTCATGAAGAATGAATGAGGATTTCTGCACTTACTGACTCTAAGATGCAGAGTAAAAGACTCTACGTTCAGGAAGAAATGTATTTGAAGATCACCCATCAGGGACGGCATGGGCAGCATCATTCAGGAGTGGTATGTTCTCCACTCACTTGACTTGTCAGTACTTCCACAGGGTAGGATCCTAGTTGCAGATGCTCTCAAAGTTGTCCTGCTCTGCTTGTTCCTGAAGAGTCCATTGCTGGCAATGGATGTAGTTGCAGAAAGGTCAGATGCAGAAGATTTTTTTTTAAAGAAATCACTACGAGTTCAATAAAAAGGGAAATCTTATGAAAAGGGAAGCTATTGAAGTCCACCAGCATCTCCCAGAAATCCATGGCCTCTGGGGAACATTGCAGGTAGAGTGGAATGATTGCTTGCATAGCAATACCCTACCAGCCACCTCTTCAGAGGTGAATTATGCAGCAAGCAAGCTCATACTTAAGGGAGGGAGGGAAAGTGGCAATGAGGCAGTGGTGCCCTTAGCAAGGGTCTTGGAGGAGCAGGTCAGTGACTGCTTGGGCCTGGTTCCCCAATGCAAAGAAAATCAATTCATTCCTATACTTGAGTGTTAAGAGAGACACTAGGCTAAAAACAGCCTTCTGAGTGGGGTGGGAGAAAAAAAAAAAAACTATAGAAATGAAAGATGCGTGTATAAATTATTTTATTTATTTCTGTAATTAGCTCTTCATAATCAGAGTTCACCTTTCAGTCAGTGGTTTTGTTAATGTGAAATTAAGTTGTAGTTTCAAAATGGTTTGCCTAGGGAACACAAATAATTGTATATTCCGTTTAAACAAAAATAAAGAGTATTTGTCTTAGGTAACTGTAAGATGCTGTTTGTTTCTAGTGTCACAGATCTGTGCAGTGTCGCAGTTCTTGTGTAGTCATAAAAAATGCAGGGGGGGGAGTTTCCAAAATGAAAAAGCTTGTGCCAGTTGGAAATGTCAGTGCAGCTGGATTGTCCATCAAGTGCAACAGCAGCTCTTTAAAAAAAAAAAAAAAAACAAAAAAAAAAACGCAAGCAGAATATCATGTCTTACGGCAATAACTCTCCCCACCACGAGGGACTTTAGATAAACATTGACATGAAAATCATGTACTGATTACACCTGTGCAGCCAACTTCTTCCTTGTCAGGCTGATTGTCCCCCTTCATATTCTAGGGTAGAGCTAAGAACAGTCTGTACAACAGAAGCATTCTTGGGTATGGCCCATGGCAGTCACTTCCCCACTTCATGGAAGTACAGGTTGGCACATATACATAACATGATGATAGAAAACAAAATGTAGTAAATTAGATTCCTGAATTTAGGCTCCAAGTCTCCTTGTCGATACCAGTAGATCTAGAGGAGAGAATGAGTTTGTTACATTAGAAACATATTCTATTAACCAATTAAGTAGTTTAGGATTCAGTGCCAGAGTAAGCAAGTGTGTTACACTGACAGTGTCTAGGATTATATTCCAGCTGCCCCCTTTTAATCTGATCAAAATGGGGAGAGGGAGTGCACAGTCAGTTTTCACTGGGACCTCTTTGTCTAAGAACCTGTAAAAGCCACCTTGCTGTGACTGGTTAGCATTGCCCTATAGCAGAGGGGAAGACCTCACTACAGTGGAATGATGGCCTAACTGATCTAGAGCCCTAGACATCTGGTTCCTATCCCCAGCTCTGCCAGGTACTCTGGTTTGATTTTACACCAAAATCCAGGTGGTCTTTGAGGCATGGAAACAGGCAAGCAGGATCTAAAGGTTTCACTCAGAAAAGCCCCTGGCTATTTTGAGTGTTGGAGCGGACTGCTACGAACTGGACACATGGAGCAGTTCTCTGGGCTACAAAGAAGCATTCAGATGCATCCGTCCAAGAACCCTCCTGTCTGCAAGTTTAGTTGAAGTCTATAGCATTTGGGAAAACGAGCAGAGAAACTGCTCTATAACGAGTACTGGAAAGGAAGGGCTAGATCCAATTAAGCATTGCAATGTCTAAACTTTCGGTGCCCTGAGCAGGGCCCAGAATCCTGGGTTTTAATAGCTTACACTCCCAACACACTTCATGGAGAGGAAGAGAGGCACAAACAGCCAGTACCCTGAGCAGGGAGCCACTACCTAGAGATGTGCTAACCTGAAACCCTGCTCTGTGCAGCATAAGCCCCTCACTTAGAGCTACAGGGCACATCTACACAAGACATTTCTTGTGGAGCTGCCTAATTAGCTCCACAGTAAGTGTCTCAGTGTTTACACATGTGGCCGTATTAGGTTGCAGTAAACTAAAACTGCTGCAAGCTAGTACTTATAAATACAAGTACCATCCTGCAGCAGAGTTTTTTCCTGTGCAGCAACACGCATGTAGATGCTGACGGAGCTGGCTGGGGCACAAGGGTGCTTCGGTGCGGGGGCTGCCTGCCGGTTAGCCCTGCACTGGAGTCCCCCTCATGCCCCAGCCAGCCCCTGCGCAGCATGCTGAGTCGAGTCGGAGCAGCCCCGGGCTGGCAGGCTGCCCCCAGGCTCCCTGCCACACACATTCAAATGCGGAGTTTATTGCTTTGAATTAATTGCATGGGTAAATGCGCCCACAGTGAAGCACGTCCATCCCTTTGGGATCCGCAGCTAGGAAAGACTTCCTGAAAGCTGGTGGCTGTACCCTCAAAGGACCAAGCAGGATGAGCATTTAAAATATGGAGAGAGGAGGTGCTCTATCCCCCTTTGGATATCCTGCTACTTAAAGCATGTGCCTAAAAAAAAGGAAGTCCCAGATTTAATCTCCCACCCCCAACCTAGCCTAATCAGTAGGCTGTAGACTACCCTGGAGGCACCTTCCATCCCACCTGTTGAAGAGGGGCTACAGTACAGACAAACCTATAAGAATCATGGGACTGGCAGGAGCACGAGGGGGAGTTGGACTGTAGCCAGCAATCTCTCCCCTTCTACAGTGGGTGGGTCTACACATGCAATTAATAGGACTGAATATATTGTGGCTCAGTTTGAGCTGGAGTAAATTAATCCCAATGTCACCATCTACACATGCATTTAAGTGCAGTAATTTGCTTTGCTGCCAGATACCACTTGTATCTGATGGGACTATCTGGCAGCACAATAAAATTAGTCTACTGCGCCCTAATTGTCATGCACGTATAGATGGTGATAACTGTGCAGCAGCAGACTAATTTGTTACGCAGTAAAGTAAGCATTTCATTTAGATGTGCCCTGCATGAAAGAGCAAGTCATCTACAGCTACACAGCTTGTGGTTCTAGTTAGGACCACTTTATATTTCACAAGCTAAATTAATACCCTTGTAGGCTGTAAGACATGCCTCTGCCACTACGACTGTCAGCTTCTCGGATGCTCCTGTAGACTTCAGCCCCTCATCACAAAACATATTCATTACAAAGTGAGACCGGTGCGCTCTGCGTCCAGCAATGGGAAGTGACCAGCACTGAGCTTACTTTGCAGACACCAAGATTCAGCTGTGTTAAGCTATTAATAGTTGCAATGGAGTAGGGATTTTTCTTCAATACTCCCCCCTGCACCTGGCCACCCACCCACCCACACACATGCTAAATTTAAGTAAAAGCCAGTGCCAGGAAAAGTCTTAAATATTTGATACTAACAATAACTCTGCCCACTTACCTCTCCTTCCTGTACCTGGTAGAGGGAGTCACTGGCTAAGGCAGAAGGAAGTCTGTTCTTGCCTCTTGTGTGAAAGAGACACCATAGTGGGTTGGGGTGGGGGAAGAAAGAGGGGGTGTCATACTATGTGACCTGTACCACCACTATAGCACGGGAAAATACCTGCTACAGCACTTATAAAGGCCTACAGGGAAAACCCTACAAGGACTGATTGAGGGACCCGAATCTCTTCAGCTTCCGCAAGAGAAGGCTGAGAGGTGATCTTGTGCCAGTCTACAAACTCATGGCGGGGGCACAACAGGAACTAGGGGATACGATGTTTACCAGGGCGCCCATCGGGGTGACTAGAAACAGTGGCCATAAATTGAAGAAGAGCAAATTTAGATTGGACATCAGGAAAAAATTATTTACAGTGAGGGTTGCCAAAATATGGAATAAGCTTCCAAGGGAGGTGGTGCTGTCCCCTTCCTTGGAGGTCTTCAAGAGGAGACTGGACAAGCACCTGGCTGGGGTCATCTGACCCCAGTGCTCTTTCCTGCCCAGGGCAGGGGTGTCAGACTTGATGGTCTGCTGGGGTCCCTTCCGACCCTAAAAATCTATAAAAGCACAAGCCCAGTAAATTGGAAGTGTACTAGATACCGAAATCCTATGGCCTGGATGCATGGGAGGGAGTAGGACAATGAGCAACGACTAGAACAACAAGGGGTGAAAGGGAACAAAAAACATATTTATCCCCCCCCACCATAGCAGGATAATGATTTTCATGTGCAGGATGTAGCACACTGCAATAATAGGACATGTTTTAGCCAAAAAGTGGGTCATTTCTTATCTCAGCTTTAATGGGGACTGGCAAATATCACAAATGCCAAGTCAGCCTATTTAGAGGGTATGTAAAAAGAGTGTGCAAAGGAGGATCTATTTTATATTATAGAAACACACATGCACAATACTTACAAGTATGCCAGCAGAAATGCAGCACAAGGAGATGCAGAAAGCAAAAAATATATTCACTGGTTTTGGAGGTAGTTGAGGGAAGACAAAAGCACTGATCAGAGTCAACTGTAGGGAAGAACACAGAGAGGCTAAGTACTTTCACACCGATAAAGACCCACAGTTTTTTCTTCCAGGGCTCAGGGAAGCAGGGCTATGAAGTGATAAGAGGAAACACCCTCCACCACTCACCCCCTCCCCCATTAGGGCTGAGAACTGTGGACAGATTGTGGAGATGGGGGTATGAAAGTTTGGAGGACCTAACAGTATAAATGCCTATCACTAAAGAGGAACTATCAGAGTCTCTCAGTAGTTTTAATCCCTACGGGTGTAAGAGGCTTCTGGGGCATGGGGGAAGGGTAGATGGTAGGTCATTTAAGGAGAGTTTCTGGAGTAACTTAAAAGCCACCAAAACCCACCACCAAATCGTGTAAGAGCCACCATCATGATACAAATCTTTCTGGTAACAGAGACCCAACTGTCGAGAAGATGGTACTAATCCAGGGGAAGGCAAAATACGGCCTGTGGGCTGGATCCGGTGGGCCAGGCACCATCTTCCAGCCTGCGGCACTGACCAGCAAACTGAACCACACCCAGCCCTTCCCACAAGTGTGGGAGCGAGGTGCCCACCTATACACCTCCCTGCCCCAACAGGGTATCTATTGCACCTTACTTCCACCCTCGTGGGTGGCAGGCCTGGCCCGGCCAGCACACAGCTTCTGGGTGGGGCTGCTGCTGCTGCCACTGCTGCAACCGCCAGGGACCCGCTTGGCTTCCCCAGCATCCCGCTCACTCCAGCCAGCAGGATGGGAGCACAGATCGTGGGGCCGGTGCTGGCAGCAGCACGGAGCCCGTGTCCATGGCGGTGGTGGCAGTATGGAGCTCAGGTGGGCACGGGGTGGGGACCAACCCCCCCCCACACACACACTCCTCCCATAGCGCACAGCCCCGCAGACGACAGCAGCAGGCAGGGGTACTCGTGCAATGGGAGGGACTTCTGATGGCCAAGGTCACAGGTGGGATTTTTGGTTGGAAGATGACAAGGGGGCGGGGCAACTGTCAAGGGGCAGGGTTACCCATGTGACCCTAGAAAGCTCACCAAACCTCACTGAGTGGCCCTCCAGCCAAAATAACTGTTCACCCCTGTACTAATCCCTCAGTGACAGGCGTGGTATGTTGATGCATGCCTGGTTAGCAAGGGCAGGGTAGGTAGGACCTGTTCGAACCAAGATGGCCACTCAGAAGATCAGAGTGGGACAACTGAACGTTTTAAGTAGATGTTAAGTAGCCAATTCACTTTCAAGGAGCTCGTCATGATCAAAGCTTTAAATAAGCCCCGGTGATAATAATCAAGGCCGCTTCCTCGGAAATGCTCTACCAGAGCATCAAGCTGGGAAGCAGGATTCAGCCTCCTGGCACTAGGCTGCTGCTGGAAGGAGCACCGATGCTAGATGTGCTCTGTGGCAGACGTGGTCAAGGCACAGCCTTCAAAGTCAGGCTTTCCAGCACCGAGCTGGGTTCCCTGACTAGTTGATCTTCTGGATGCAGAATAGCATCTGGGCTCTATAAAGTCCACTATGGACTACCATGGATCAGGGGAGTTTCTGCCTCTCAAAAAACTTGTTCTTTTTCTTATTTAAGTTCCAAGAAAGTACAATTAGCACAGCATCATATGTGTCTCATGTCTTATAAAAAGATAAGCAGTAAATTTCAGCCAGCTCAAGTGGTGCCGAAAAGTCTCCTCCTGTGGTATTTTGGAAGGTTTGGTTTTTTGTTTTTGTTTTTTTTAAACAAAGCCATAGAACGTGTTATCAAATTACATTTGCTAGAAGAAAATGGTTTCCCTTCCCCAATGGCAAGAAGTGGCAAATGACTAGGAAGCCAGCCTGTACTTCAATCCAAAACCTGGTCCTGTTAATGTCTGATTGCAAAATAACTTCAGTTAGAATAAGTTAATAGGATTTTATCGCTATGCCTTGGGGAAAAAAAAAAAAGAAACATGGTTTGGGAAGGTGAATACTTACTATAAGCAGCACCCCTCCCAACAGCCAAGTTGATTATTCTATCCTGGGTGGGGGTTGGGGGGGGAGAAAGAAAAAAAAAAAAACAAACAGTAACACATGGTCATTTCATTTGTGAAGCTGTCATAATAGTAGTGGATCAAACAACACCCAGAGATCAGGAAGCCATTCTGTGAGGTCGCACACATGCACAGTTTCTGCTGCAAAGACATTACAGTTTAACAGACTCGTTCCATCCTTTCCCCGCAGGCAGATCTACTTTGAATCATAAAATCAGAAAGATATAGGGCTGGAAAGGGATCTCCTAAATTATCTAGTCCAACCCCCTGACTGAGGCAGGACCCCTATACAAAGCATCCCATACAAATCCCTGCTCTCCCCCCGACCAGCAACAGCTCGAAGCCCACGTGTGACCGCCAACAGCGCACAGCCCCTGGCCTGCCCTGACTTTCTAGGCAGCCCAGGCAGTGGTGGTTCCTTCTGGCTGCTACCACCACTGGCCCCAGCCCTGCAGTACTGGTGGGGACCCACGCGGACTACCCCAACCCTGGCCTGGCCCGCCCCACGCATGCTCCAGGCTATCTGGACCATGAGCGCACAACCCCGATCCACCCTGCACCTGCTCCGAACTTGCCCGCCCACGCTGAGCAGTGGCCAGGAAGACGTTGCTGCTCAGCATGGAGGAAAAGTGAAAGTGGCCCCTCCCATTCGCTGCTGCCAGCAGCTCCTTGCTGCAGCTGCCCAGAGCCTGCCCCCGAACTGCCTTGCCGCTTCTCTCCACCACCGTCACCGCTGCCTCCAAGCTGCCCTGCAGTAGCAGCGCAGAGGAGCAGCAGGGCAGCCCGAGTGCAGGCTCTGGGCAGCTGCAGCAACAAGTACCTGGCAGTGGCAAAGGGGTGGTGGAAGTGTGCTTTTCCCCTGCACTGAGTGGCAGCTTCTGTCCAGCCACTGCTCTGCATGGGTGGGTGGTCTGGAGCAGGCGTGGGGTGAGCCAGAGCGGGCCAGCAGTGGCAGCAGCTAGGAGTCATAGCCACCCGGGCTGCCTAGAAAGGCAATCCAGCTGCACAGCTGCCTCAGCCCCGCTGCGTGCCCAGGGGGTGGCAGGATGCGCCACTGGCCAGATGGAAGCAAGGCCAAATAGGACAAAGGGACCCACCGCAAGTTGGACAAAGTCCCTCCATGGGCCATATTTTGCCCAGCCCTGATCTAACCTCTTAATAAAAAACTACCAATTGAACTGCAACTGATAACTCCACATTCCTCTAGCAATCTTCTCCCTCTGCACCGAGCATGAGACCCGAGGATTTCAGTGACCATCTTAAATTTCTGTTCCCGACCATTTTGCAGATCCTGACAATTTTGCCTTGCTCTTTGAGACCCAGATGCAGTTTCTTCACACACATCAGCAGTGGGATTTCTACTACTTTCCAGGCAACTGCACTTGTGTAGCCCGACACCTGTGGGATGCAGATGCATCACTTGTGCTGCAGCACTCCAACTTAGCAATGGTGCATGCCAAGAGGAGAACCCAGCTTGACTTGGATCCTGGGCAGATCTTAAGAGGTCACAAGGGGATATGTCCGAACATCTCTGTACTTGGAAATGGGTTACGTTTGGCTTCAGAGTCCGAGACACATCCGTGGAAACACAACTACAGTCTGCAGAGTCACTCTGCAGCTAGATCAGCACTTCAAGGCATGGAACAAGGGGAGCATACAGAACTGTCAGATTAAGACAGGATGAAACCTTCAGGCTGAAGAATTAGGAATACAACCTGAAGTGAAAGGTTGGATGTTCAGTTTGTGAAAACTGGAGATCAAGGCACTGCGTCTCTCCCAGATCATCTGATCATCACTCCGAAGTCAACGATGGAGCTGACTCTGTGCCATGAGCGTACAGCCTGTCACCGGCGATGTTGGAAAACAGAAACAAGTTCAGAACTCAGGTCTTTGCTAATCTCTCTCCTCTCACTTGGCCGCTGTTCACGTTTTAGGATTTGAAATTTGGGTCATGTCAAAGGGGACCTTTTTTTACCCACCCTTCTTCTGTACCAAATCGTTAGACTCCCTTGTGCAGCTGTAACTGGGTGAACAAACATACACCTCTGAATCTCACCCTTCCATTTAAGAGTAGCCCTGCAGTGAAGTGTCCAGTGAAGCTGCATCACCAGGACCTCATTCAAGTCATGGCCAAAAAAGCACGTTACCAGCTGGTCGGTGTCAAGTGCCAGGACAGGAGGCTGGGCAGAGTGTCCTAGTGCCAGTGGTTATTGCTGCCTAGCTTTTAGTACCACCTGCACGGTCTTACTGTCTCTTATTCCAACACTGATCTTGTCTGTGAATTTCTAGAGCAGTCTGCTCTTTCCCCACGGTGCATCCAGCAGCAAAGCTCTCCACTGTCTCCCAACTGGATCCCCTGGGCCTCCACCCCCATTTTTGTCCCTACGCTTGCTTGTCACCACTGGCATCTAGTTTCCTTTTTGCCCTTGAACACAGCACACTATAGTGGTTATGCCATTAGGGCACTCAGGCCAGAAGAGGGCTTTGGATAATCAGACCAATTCAAGCAGCCCAACCCATGTTCAAAGAGCGGGATGAGGACCTAGAATAGATTTAAGCTCTGTATTGACAGCAGTTGTACTAAGGGGGGCCACGCAGGCTCCTCTGTAACTGTAAAGTGGCAGCCTTCCTCTTCCCTGGCTATTTTGGTTAACACTATTCACCCCACTGTCAGCACAAGTACCTACAATCAATTTATTATCTACCTGAGATTTTAAATTTAAATTTTTTTTTTTATTTAATTTTTTTTTTTTTAACTGCTTTGCCACAGAGAGAAGACCATTTTATTAAAATGTGAAACAAAAGTGCCGGACAGTATTTCTGTGGGGCCTATGAGAAAGAGTAGTGTGTGCAGAGAAACAATTCTCCGCTCTGCTGCGGCCCCGAGTGGGTGTCATTGTCCTGGGTCTGGCATCACCCCGAGCTGAAGTTCTCAGCAGTGAAAAGGAACAAGGCTGCTTATTTCATTCGCTTCTCTCATGCTGAGAGCATTCATTTCCCAGATTAAAACAAAAAACCACAACATGATACTCAGTGTGTGCAGCTGGGGAGCTGTGGGGAAGAGGTATAAGGGAGAAAGATAAAGATAACACCATGTTCTCAGGAGCTGTAGCACACAATGCAAGCTGTGTACCCATAAGTTTAAACTTGAACAATTAGGTGATGTGACCCTTTCTGAACAAAGGGAAGCCCCAGAAAGGGCATTAGTTTGTACCAGAGCAGGACTTGCAAGTCCCAGCAGAGATGAAGACACCACTCTACTCAGTGCCACACAAACACTCATTGTAAGAGGCAGTTTCTGCCCCCAGAAGTTCAGTCTAAACTAAGGATGCTCAGTCTCCAGCCCATGGGGCAGATGCGGCCTACGAAGCCAGAATGAACAGCCCATCACTGGTGAATGCTCCTGCTGCTCTTCCTCTCCTTCCCCCCAGCAGCTGAATTGAGCAACAGGGGAAGGAGGGTACAGGCAGCAGCAGCATTCACCTGCACAGACAAAATCAGGAGCTGAGCATCACCGCCCGGCTCCCTCCTCCTGCCCCACCAAATTCAGCAGCAAGGAAAAGAGGCAATGAGCAATGGCAGCAGCAGGGCTCGGAGCACCATGAAAAAACTAAGCAAACCAGGATGTCAGCAGGGGCTCGGGCTGCAGCCACAGCTT